GAAAAACTATCTTTCAAAATTGATGGAAAAATAAGATATTCCATGACAAAGAACAGCTGAGGTAAATTATGACCACCAAACCAGCACAGAAAAATATACTGAAGGACATTCTAGAAAGAGCTAATAAAAATTAAAACTCCATGAATCCCAACAGAATAAATCCATCAGGCAAGACAAGTAATTTTACAAAGGAGGGGGAAATGGCCAACAACAAGAATGTAACATGTCAAAAATAAATCAATACATATCAGTTATAACCATCAGTGTAAATGGTCTCAATTCACCAACCAAAAGAACCAGACTGGCAGAATGCATCAAGAAGCAAGATCCATCAATCTGCTGCATACAAGAAATACATTTAATTCAGAAATAAATTTATAGACTGAAACTCAAAGGATGGAAAACACTGCGCCCGGAACCCAGAAAAAAAAAAAAGCAGGTGTAGATATTCTTTTTGCAGACAAAGTGGATTTCAAGCCACTACTGATCAAGAGAGATAAAGAACGTCACTGCATCCTTATACAGAGAACAATCAAAGAGGAAGAGATAACAATCCTAAACATATATGCGCCAAATACCAGCATACTCAACTATATAGAATATTAACGGACATGAAAAATCAAATAAGCACTAATACAGCTTTAATGGGGGATCTCAGTACTCCACTATTACAAACAGACAGATGAACTAGGCAAAATATCAATGAACAAATATCAGAACTGAACCAAACTTTTGAACAGATGGACTTAGCACATGTTTACAGTGTTCTGCCTCACATCAGAATACACATTCTTCTCAGCTACACACAGGGCATTCCTGAAAGTAGATCACAATCTAGCTCATAGAACATATGCAAGTAAATGCAAAGACACTGAAATTAGCCCATGTATATTATCAGCCCATAGTGTAATGAAATTGGAAATCACAGAAATATATGCACAGCCATGTTTACAGCAGCACCATTGTATTAGCCAAATCTTGAAAATAATCCCAATATCCACCATCAGGTAAATGGATAAAGATGTGGGGTTTTTTAGACAATGGAGTGCTACTTTGCCATAAAGAATGACACACTTGACATATTTCTAAAAAAGCAATGTGTCTTGAGACCATAACCTTAAGTGAAATAAATTGGACACACATGTGTAAATATCACATGGTTTCTTTGGTGTGAGAAAACAAAAGTGTAAATAAGGACCAAAATGTGTAATAAGAACTATGAAATAGAAAGAAAACATTCAAATGGGAGTGGAACAAGGGAGTGGAGGGGAAAGGAAACAAGGGAATAGTTTTTTTAAATGAGAAAAGAACATGGAAATAAAGTTTTTATAACTGGAAAGGGGAAGAGAAGTTGAAAGAAAGGTAGGGGGCTAGGAGAAAACAAATTCTGTCATGTATAGGTACAATTTTTCTAAGATGAATGTGATCATTATATATATATCTAAAGTAAACAAATAAAGTCAAGTAAAGAAAGAAATTAGAAATCAGTGACAAAAGAAACCACAAGAACTTCACAGACACATGGAAATTAAGTAACATTTTGAGCAACCAATGGGTCACAGATGTAATTAAAAAGAAAATTAGGTAATTTCTACAATTAAATGATAATGCCAATACAACATATCAGAATTTATGGTCCACATTGAAAATAGTCTTACAAGGGGAATGTTTAGCAGTGAATTCCCATGTCAGAAAAACAGAGCAAACATAAATAATCAAGCAAATGTTGAACTTCAAGCTTCTAGAAAAAGAAGAGCAAGCCAAACTCAAAGCTTATAAGAAGGAGAAAATTATTAACAGCAGACCAGAGCCAGGTGTGGTGATGCACATCTGTAATTCCAGGACTCAGAAGGTTGAGGCAGGAGGATTGCTGAAAGTTCAAGGCCAGCCTCAATTGCACAAGGAAACCCTGTCTCAAAAAGACTAAATAAATTAATAAATAAGATCAGAGCAGAAATCAATGCAATGGAGACCAAGAAAACAAAATGAAGAAGTCAATGAATCAAAACTGTTGGTTCTTTGAAAGGTTAAATAAAATCAACTTTTATCCAAAAAATAGGAAACTTTATTCAAAAAAGGAAATAAAAGCCTTGAAGCCATGCAGTTACGAATGAAAAGAATGAAATCAAAGCAGATCCTGCAGAAATCCAGATTGTCCATACCTACTTCAAAAGTTTGTATTCTAATAAGATGTAAAATGCAAGAGAAATAGGCAGATCCCTAGATACATCTGAATTACCAAAACTGAATCAAAAAGATATAAAAATTCTAAATAAGCCAATAGCAGTCAATGAAATGGAAGATGTAATTAAAATCTACCAACAAAGAAAAGCCCAGAAAACTATAGTCAGGTCTGCCTAATGAACATAGTCTCAGAAATCCTGAATAAGACACTGGTAAATGGAATGCAGCAAATCATCAGAGTTTACACACCATGACCAAGGAGGATTCATCCCAGGGAAAGCTCAATATGCACCTATCAATAAATGTAATATACCATATTAGCAGAGCCAAGGACAAAAACCACATAATCATCTCAATAAGTGCAGAAAAAGCATTTGATAAAGTCCAACAGCTGCTCCTGAAAAAACTACAGAAAATTGTAACAGATGCTCTTTATCTCAATCTGATAAAAACCATGTATAACAAATCAACAGCCGGCATTGCACTAAATGGGCAAAAACTGAAAACTTTCACTCTAAAATGAGGAGCAAGACAAAGATGTTCAGTGTTTCCACTCTTATTCAACATAGCTCTGGAAACATTAACCAGAGCAGTTTGACAAAAGAAATAGAAGGAATAAGGATAGGAAAGAAAACAGTTAAATTATCATTATTTGAAGGTGACATAATACTCTACATAGAAAATCCCAAAAGCACCACCAAAAGATTCTAGGATTATTAACCAAATTCAGCAGCATAGCTAAATATAAATTCAACAGTCAAAAATTAATAGAAGTCCAGTACACAAATAGCAAACTCACTGAGAGAAATTAGTGAAGCAATACCTTTCCCAGTAGCATCCAAAAAAAAAAAAAAAAAAAAGAAAGAAGGAAAGAAAGAAAGAAAGCAATACTTAGGAATCATGTACTGAAGTAAAGATCTTTACACTGAAAAATACAGTACCCTGAAAAGGGAGATTTAAGAAGATATCACAAAATGGAAAGATATTCGTTGCTCATAAGTGGGAAGGAAAGATGGAGGAAAAAAATGGAAACAAAGCTTTTGTAAATAAAGAGGGGAAGAAGGATTGAAAAGAGGGGAGGAGAATTGGAAAAAAATAAAGATATGTCGTGTACATGTACAACTTCCCTATGATGAATATTATCATTACGTATATCCAAATTTTAGCAATAAAAAGGAAACTATAATTGGCCTATAGGATTACAGTATAACTGCTAAACTAATATCCATCCAACATAGAAGCCAGTCACATAGCAAGGGTACATGGGAAGAACAGAGGCATTTTTGGGAAGGGATGGGACTGGATACTCTGGTCACCCACGTAAGTGACTGGGTCCAGATGTTCCAGTCACCCATCTGAGGGACTGAAGTCTATCTGCACTTTACTTGAGCAGATGATACCAATCATAGTACAATAGTACAGTCTCAAGTTATTGTTTGACTCTCAGGGAAGCATGTAGGCCTGGTCATTGCATCTTTATCGTGAGGTGTAGGCTTCAACAAATGCCCCTCAAGCCTGAGTTGTGACGCATTCTCATCTTCGGCACTGACTCCTTCAGGTGTCTAGTCCTGTCTCACTGCCTATTAATGTGTGTCTAACTGAGCTGCCTATAACAGTGCTAGATACAGCAAAGCTTTGGGCCTTTGTTGGTCATCTCTGCGGAGGCTTGCAGGCCTCGTGATCATGTATCCATCTTGGGACCAAGTTTCTATCCATTTAACCCTTAACTACAGGCTTGGTTTGTCTCCTCTCTGTTCTGACTCTATCTTGGGCCTGATTCCTTTTGAGCTGCCTGTCAACTTCTATCTAACTTTGCTATCTGTAATACTTTAGAGTACGTATATGTCTATCACGGAAAATTCCTAAGAGTGGAATTGCTGGGTCACAAAATAGATATATTTCAGCTTTCATAGAGACTGCTAAACAGATTTTCAAAGATGTTGTACTAATGCATAATTTATCATTTTATACAGAGGATAAGAGTTTTCGTTCCTTTCCATGCTCATCAACACTAACTGTTTTCATTTTTGCCATTGTAATAGATGTGTAGTAATAACACATTGTAGTTTTAATTTGTATTTCCTTAATGACTATGATATCAACAGTTTTCACATGTCTATTATGTATTTGAATATTCTTTTATAAAGTATCTGGCGTATCTTTTTGACAATTTTTCTATTAGCAGTCTTTTTCTTATTGACTTATAAAGGTTATTTATATATCTAGAATGAGTCTTTTTCAAGCACTGCACATACAGTCTCACACTCTGTGGCTTGCCTTTTCACTATGGCAGCATCAAAGACTACAAAAATTGCTCTATGCATAGCATTGAAATACCTGCCTTTCATTCTTACATATGTTCTGAAGGGAAAAAAGCCCTACTGTCATTTTTCTTCCTCATGTCTCTGAAAGCCTAAATTTATGTAATCTAATAGTCACAGGGAAAGAAAAACTAGGGGAAACTTTCATGGTTATGTACAGAGGTGTATATTGAAGGGGAGAGCATTTGACCTGACATTTGTTTTGGCTGATGATATTGTGTGTGGGTATTCCTGCCAATTCTGTAGCTCACAGACATCTGGATATGATTGCTATTTTGTCTTAAAATATGTCACCCTGTTAACAAATTTTGCAGAAGTTAGGAATACATTTGGTTTTTCATTTTAGTGTAACAAGTTATCAGGGACTTAACAAGTTAAAACAACACATTTATTATCTACCAGTTTCATGGATCCAGCTTAGCAGCATGCTCCACTTAGAGTCTCACACAGGCTCCTAGCAGGGTGTTGACATGACTGTGCTCCTTTTTGGCCCCCTTGCAGGATGATCAGCAGAGTTTACTTCCTTGTTATTATGGAACTAATGTTCCTCTTTCTTGTCAGCTGGGAACTCCATTGTTTTCATGCATTTTTGGGTCTGTGATTTTTCAGCTTGGCTGCTGCTTCAGCCTTCCAAGAGAGTCCTCACTGAAGGGGAACCTTTGACCTTGAGGTGTCATGGATGGAAGAATAAGCTGGTATCCAATGTGGTTTTCTATTAAAATGAAAAGCCTATTAACTTTTCTTATGGATATTCTGCATTCACTATTCTGAAAGCCAACATGAATAACAGTGGTGTCTATCACTGCTCAGCCAAGGGAAGATTACCTGGCCCATTCACATCCCCAAGAGTACCTGTGATGGTGAAAGGTAATGTATTTAAATAGTTATAGAGCTATAGTTGAAAAGACCCAAAGGACCAGCATAAATCATGTAAATCCTCATTTCAATTCATAAGAGATAAACTGCTTCAGTGAGTGGGTCCCTTCCATTGCTCTTTCCAGTATACCGTGTCCTATCAATAATCACAGGAGCCAGGCATAATGAAGCCCCATTTTATCAATCTGATTTTAGTTTGCAAAGAACAGAGACTCCTTCAAGCTAGCTAGAAGAGTTATTAGAAAATAGCCCAGTAGAACTTCATGAATGCTCATGGAAGTGGAAACCAGCAAGACATTAGGAGCTGGTTTCATCTGTCTCTCAAGGACAGTACAGCCTTTCTGGTCCTACTTCTCTCTAAACATCTGCAAACTAAGCACCTTCCCCTGTCCAAGTTTACATGTAGCTCTTGCTCTGACCATTTCACGGTCTTTCCTCTCAGCACCCATACTCACCAGTGACATTTTTCCATCAAAAAAAAATTCATTCCTGTGGGAAAGAAATTACTGTCTTGGATTACTGTTTGAGAGAGGAGCACAAGTAAGGAAACACTGAACTGTCAAGGATGTGAACTAGTGCCTACTCTGGGCAGATCATTACCAAGAGGGTGCAGTTATATAATAACATGGCCATTCGGGGAAGATTGGGCCATATAAAAGAACTCTTCTCTATGGATGCAAGCAAGCTGGTAGCCTTAATTAGGTCTGATAGGAAACCCCCATAGTGATTCTCTAGTAAGTGGGAAAAATTCAGCTTATGGATGCAATTTCTTGGGGACAAGTTTCCAAGATGGGAGAGGGTATGACCTTGTAAAAGAACCTTGATGCTGAAGGAGACAACTCTGTCCCCTATCAACTTTCTCTTCAGAGCTGTTTCCAGCTCCAGTGCTAACCTCATCCTTCGGTAGAGGATCCCCACTTCGGCAGAGGAAACTAGTCAAGCTGAGCTGTGAGACAAAGTTGCTCCCACAGAGGTCTGGCGTGCAGCTTTACTTCTCCTTCCACATGGGCAACATGACGCTGAGGGCCAGGAATACATCCTCTGAGTACCACATTCTAACTGCTAGAACAAATGGTTCTGGGTCCTACTGGTGTGAGGCAGCCACAGAAGATGGAAATGTCCTTAAGCGCAGCCCTGTGTTGGAGCTTCAAGTGCCTGGTGAGTGAGGACTGGAAGCCACTGGCAAAGGAGAAGGGGCCATTTGCTGCCATGGAGCTGAGGCTTGTTTAGGGGTTTGGTGATGGCCCAGCCAGAAGGAGGAAGTCTTTCTAGGAAAAGCTTGGGGTTGGGCCTTTCCACCATTGGTTCAGAACTTTAATATGCTCTTCACAGACGTCATTGTTTCCCTTCCTGCCTTTATTTTCCTTCCCTTCACCTCATTCTTCCTTTTTTTCTTCTCCTTCATTTTCTGCTCTCGCTTCCTGGCACTCTTGTGCCACCTTGTTGCCCACTTCTCCATTGGCATCCCTGCCCTGTCCCTCACCAACCATCTCACCAGAATATACTGAGCTTCTCCAGTCTGCTGCTAGTGGATCTGGGAATACAGACACTGGGGTGCCCATTTTGATTCACATAGTGGATTTATAGGAAGTGATCTTGTAGACAGCACAGAAGAACCTGCCCGAGTGTCTGTTAAGAGAGGTAGTGAAATGGTGAGTTCAGGAGGAAAGATTCTTTGGCAAAAACAAAATAAAGAGAATCCTCGCCCAAGCATAAAAAAGTAGAAATAGCAGTGATCTCTGAAACTAAGGGGTAAATCCTTAGCTTGGTTCCTTGGTAGTTAAACTCTTCCAAGGAGTTTGTCCCTGGTGGACAGCATAGAGCCCAGCTGGAGCTCCCTCCAGTTCTCCAGGCCCCCAAATTGCCAGTGCCTCATGGGGACTAGCACACTAGGCCTCAGTCAATCTCATTCCAGACAGAACTCAGCCAGATTCCTCTGATGTCTAAATAGTGTCTCTTCTCTGTTTTTCTGTTTCAGACCTCCAGACACAAATTTTTGTCTGGCTTCACATCCTTTTCTATATGCCATTGGGCATAATGTTTTTGGGAGATACTATTCTCTGTGTGAGAATATGTAAAGAACTGCCAAGCGAGAGAAAGTAGAATTTAGAAGTCGCTTCAGCTTCTGATCATGGAGAGGAAGTAACTTCGGAAAATCCCAAAGACATTTACAAGAAGAAGTGAAGTATAAGGGTCAAGACCTACAGTGATAAAGGACACATGGAAACCCTGGCAGGGAGACAAGCATTTTCTCAGAGGGTGGCCATAGATTTAGTGACTGTGGTAGCGCTTAGACATAAATATCTGAAAATTAAATGTCACTTTCCAAAGCTTATAAGTGTGGGTTCCATAGCTTATACTCTTAAATAAAGCTAACTTCAGTTGAGACAAATGTAGAAATTTGGTAATCAAAGATAATTTAAAACGAGATCTACTCTAAAGAAATCTTCAAAAGCTTGCAAGTCAAAAAAAAAAATTAGAAGTCAAATCTGATAATTCTACTAATTTGAAAACTAGTATATTTTGAAGGACCAGGATAAAACGTTGAGTGTTAGGGTCAGGGATTTAGCTCAGTGGCTCAAGTGCTTGCCTGAAAAGCGTGAAGTCATGAATTTGATCCCTGGTACCAAAATAAAAGTTGAGTGTATGCCTAACTACAAAGGATAAAGGCACAAAATGAGAGCGAAAAAGAAGACATACAGGAAGGCACGCTGACACATGCACATGCACACACACCGTGGGTGGACAGGGGGTCATGGAGACCAGAAGGATGGGGGGAGGGTGGAGAGAAGGCAAAGAAGAAAATAAAACTGACACAGCTGTGACTTTTGAGAGACTTTGAGAAAGAAAGCTCACATCTGTGTGTTTAAGATAGTTACTGTCCTGGCTTTTCTAGTTAGCGGAAAACATTTCCAATCGTGTTATAGACACGCAAGGGAGAAAATCATGAGCAGAAATGGTCGTGTAGTTCTCGCCTTTTCATTTGAGGCTTGCTCAAACCCTCTCTATCCAGAGACCCCAGACATCCTGTCGGTCCACTCCAGGCTCTGGTCTACAGGAAGGCAGAATGTAGTTGCTGTTTTCTATAATTAACGGTCTCTAAGAATAGGCTCCAGGGAATTTCAAGGAGGCAAAAGCAGTGAGATCATGCAGACATGGCCCTTGCCTTCAGAGATTTACTCTACTCTTCTGATTCCTATTGGGTGGTAATTTGGGAACAAACATTTTCCTACTACTCTATATCATAGCTGACACTGAAAACCGAAATCTGTGAAAAGATTTTAGTAGAAATTTAGGGATTAAAAAAGAAGTATAACAAACGTAGCAACAAAATGCAGCTTATTTGGCAAAGAGGGATCATCCCCACCAAACATCTACCATGGCTCCGTGTGTTCCATAAAGCTCACCTTTAATACCACCTTTAAGCTCCTGAGAGCTTCCCCGAGCAACAGGGAGCCTGAGCCCACTGCTTATCATCTGTACAAAAGTGAACAATCTTCTCTGCTTCACTTTTTAAAAAAAGGTACAATTATTATCTCAATATTATCTCCAGTGTTTTTGTCATTTTATGTGATATTAACAGTTGAACCCAGCTCTCCTGCCTGCCAGGCAAGCTCTCTGCCTCTGAACTACATCCCCAGCCACCAATGTTTGTATAAAAGAAGTGACTGCATATGGTAGCAGAAGTTTTGTTGATTACACAATTTTGGTGTTACAGGTTGTAAAAACAGGGGAATGAGAACTGAAGGGAATGAGCCTCAAAGGAAAGAGTCCCAAAGACCCTCAGTAGTGACACTATCTGTAGAAGACTCCACAGGAATCACAAGCTGGAGGAAGGAGTGCAGTTCACACTCAGAACAGAAATCGCTGCCTACACTCACAAGGTGGACAGAAATCTCGGGGAAAGGGCTGAAGGGAAGGAGAGCAGACACAAATAGCAAAATAGCATAATTTCCTTCCCATTGTCACCTTTCATGCTCCTTTGTCAGGCTTTTCCATGTTTGTATCTTTTTCATAGTTTTTTATGGGACTTTATTATATGAATCATTTATTTGACCACACAAATTTCTTAACTGGGCAATTTGCATTTCAGTCTTTCCTTATTTCTGGCTTATAGCTTATAGCCAGGAATAGGTTCTTCAAGCCCGCCATGTTCCTGTCTGCTCTTCCAGCCTCAGGGTCTTGGCCCACTCACACCTTCTCCAGGTAAGGTCCCAATCCTCTACTTCCCCATGGGGATTGGGTACCTGCTCCTGGCACTCATCCCTCTCCATCTGTGGGCCCATTCTTCTTTATTTTTATTTTTACTTCACTCAGTACTGAAACATACTTGTTGACTCTGTTGAGGAGAGAGGCTAAAAGGATCCTGAAACACTTCTTGCTCAGCATTTCCCACCTCTGGCAAAGCCTATGTGTGGATTAGGAGTTGGTGGTGGTTAAGTCTACTTGGGAACAGGGAGACCAAAGACAGGAGAGCAGAAATGTCTCTGGGTCTGCCCTTGAGCAGATGCTCAGGCACTAACATGTAAATTGCACCTTAGGGTATCACTTTTGAGTCACTAAATTTACTTTTAGACATAAAAACAATGCACCGATCAGTTTAAGTCTTCACACCAGGTTTTCAGTTTTCCAAGAGAACTGGAAACACCAGACATGGTGCTCACCAGAGCCTTTGGAGCAGGCCACCTGGCGCTCGGCTAGAGAAAAGCTGTTCTGTGCCTTGGGACTTGAATGCCACTGTCAGTCACATTCACCTGCATATACCAGAGAGCCCCTAAAGCCAGTTAAAGACCCAGGATGGATCCTCAGTCAATAAAAATAGGAAGATAGCAGATAAATATCACACACTTGGCCACCCCTCAGTTGGGACTGTACTGTATTCCACTGTCTCTCAGAGTGCTCTCTAAAAGGCTAACTATAGGTCTCATAGTGACAATCTGCTCATTAGAGCCTCTTTTCCATCTTCCATTATCTTATATTTATAGAGGTTAGGGACAGAATTAGGTGTTAGATGTGGATATAGTAGCCCTTCATGAGATATTCTGAATGCTAGCATATTGTGGAAAGGTGGGGCAGAATATATAACCATTTTTACTTAAGGTGTTTTTGTTTTTGTTTTTGTGGCACAAGGGGTTGAACTCAAGGCCTTCCCTCTGAGCTACTTCTCAGCCTCCCCTCCTTTTAATTGTCTCCTTTAATCTCTAAAGAATTTGTATGCTCCTGCCCAGTTTCCCAGGGTGCTGGGATTACTGCCATGCAAGCTTGGCTTCCCATTTAAAGATTTTGCCTCTTTTTCTTTCTAAAACTGCTTGGCTCCCATCTCATGAGAGCAAGATGGACAGAGGAAGGGAAATAACTACCCCTGTGGGTCGCAAACAGGCACAGCTCTGTACTTGCTCTAGTCGTGCCTGAATTAGGCTGTGTTCTGAAATCGTTCTGGTCTAGTCGCCCCGGTGCAGAGAGGGGCACCAAATTTGTGGGCGTCCCCACAAATTCCCGAGACTGCAGGGGTGACAGCCCAGCGGCAGGAAGGAAGCAGTGCTGGAACTGAACAATCTTATGTAGATCCCAGCGGCGGTCCTGCTCTGCACCCTCTGCGGGCCGCGTTGGAGATCACAGTCTCCGCCCGCCCTGGTGCAGGGGCTTCTGCCCACCAGGACCCCAGGCCAGGTGCGGGCACGGTCAGGGCAGCCCCCTAGGAGGTGAGGGTCCAAGCCACGGCCACAGAGCTCGCAGGAACCTCAGCCTGTAGAGAGAGACCCAAGCAAAGGCGGCGAGAGGTGGCGGCTGGACAGAAGCCAAGTGCAGTGGAGATGGCTCCCTGCTGGCCGCATCCCCATAGCGCCTTGCGGACCCTGCGCGAGCTGCCCTCAAGTGAGCGAATCACAGAACGTTGTCCACCAAGGTCCAAGGCGTCTCCTGTCCTGGATGTCAAGTTTCCAGGCCTGCAAGAGACCAAGGAAAGGACCTGAAGACAGGAAGCAGCTGGAGGGATGGCCCTGGCTGCACTCCCAGGTGGGGTAGAATCCAACTCCCTGGCCTGGAGGCTTCATTTGTGAGGATCTTGGTCCTCTGTAGTTCCCAGAACGTTTTGTGGTTTGTTTTTTTTTTTTTTTTTTTGTTTTAAAGACCATGTCTCTATGTTCCAAATTCACTCACTCATAGTGAGTTCAAATTCATTATGTAGCCCTGCTGGCCTCAAACTCTAGGAGATCCTCCTGCTTCGTGTCCCCGCCCCCGCCACCCCCCACCCCCCCCCGCCAGTGCTGGATTTACAGGCCTTTGCTATCATGACATGCTTGGCCTTCTGAGCCTAAACCCAGTGTCCCTAAGTGGACAGGTATGGAGTAGAACAGGCAACCTGTTGAAAGGAAGTGGGTCAGTAGGGTCATCTGTGCTGTCCAGTCTTGGTCTGGAGAACCCTGAACTCTTTGGGGAGCACAGATGTCTCTTTATGAGAGTCCTGGCCCATTTTAGAGCACTCAGAGTTTCCTACTTTGTTTTTAAATTTTTAAATTTTTTTATTTTAAAGAGATTAAGACCAAAAGGGCATAACAATGCAGATCAAAACAGAACAATTTAAGCAACACAGTATTTCACCACAACACAACCTGATATAACAGCTACCATAATGTCTCTTTTTTTGAAATAGTTGTGCATATCTTCATAAACAATAGTATCAAACGTAACAAAATAGTATAAAACCATTCAAGAGAATGAAAGTATTTCAGGGCATTCAGAACCAAGTAACAGAAAACAAACAATGCCTACTATATTATCTCATTGTTGGTAAAAATTTGATTATACTATCACACATATTAAAATCCAATAAGATACAACATGACAGAACCAATGGAAACAGAAGAACAAAAGTATGGTAGGACTTCAAAGCAAGTGATATTAAATCAGCAACGGCTATTATAATGTCTTGTTTTCTTCAAAATAGCTGTTCATACCATCACAGATAATAGAATCAAACAAACCAGGATACAACCATTCCAACTAATGAACAAAAACATTATAAGACTTCAAAACAATGCAATGGTGAATCATGATGACCATAAACTCTTATGTACTCTTACACTAGGGAGACTATACGGTATTTGTACATTTAGTTTGATTTATTTCACATATGAGTATGGTCTCAAGTTGTGTCCATTTATTTATAAATATCTCAATGTGATTTTGTGATTATTTTTTTAAAAGACATTAAAAGAGGACATAACAAAACAGATCAGAAAAAGAACAATTTAAGCAACATAGTGTTTCACCACAAGAAAACCCAACATAACAGTAGCTACCATAGTATCTCCTTAAAATAACTG